CCTTTGGAAATTCCCAATCCTCAAAACTTTCTCGCTCATTTTCTGGAACATCTATCGTTCGAATATATTCTTTCTTCCCGCGATTCCTTCTGCATACTTTTTGTAAATGTCCTTTTATCCCGCAATTATGGCAGATGGCATTCAAATTAGGGCACTTAGGTTTTATGTGATCTCCTAATCCACAACAATAGCATAATTTTGATACTGGTTTGTACTTGTCATACTGCTCCCTTGTTACTGTTTTTGAGATTTTATTTATCTCCTTCCCTGCAGATAATTTTTCATACAACATCATTTCTGTAGTTTCCATTGCGGTCGCGATTTGTATTGCACTTTCCCATGTCAAGTCCTGCGTATTAATTAATTTCATTAATATTTTTCCATTATTAATTCCTGACACTAATTTGTCCCGCAATACTGTATTATACATATCTTTAAATTCACACATCTTTGCCTTTATCTTTAATTTATTAATATACTCTAAGATGGTTTCATCTTTTTCTTGTTACATTTTAAAAAAAATAGTATCTTTCTAACATGAAATTAGTCTTGTTCATATAATAATTTTTTAAAAGTTTAATGATGTCATAATATGATATTTCCTCGAATGTCTTTGGCAAACACAAATTAAATAATTTAGAATAAACCTCTAATCCAATATTCGCTAATAAAAATGATTTTTTATCTTCTATTTTTGCGATTTTAAATATGAATTCCATCCTTGATAAATAAATTTCCATATTGCACTCCTTTATATTATATTTCTCCATCCTATCGACTGCACCATTATAGTGATACCAAATTTTATTGTAATTTTAAATATTTTTTATATTATATACCGCCGTATATATATCTTTTACAAAACAAACAATCGTCGTACACAATTAATAATATATATATATAAAATTCATCATATATTTAATTGCCTTTGAGGCTAATTGTTTCTATTACAACTTACAACCAAATAAGACTTTTGTTAAAAATGCAATGACAAAAGATACTAGCATTATACCCCAAACCTTAAAATTTACTCTTGGTTTGTTGTAATATACAAAATTATCCTTTTGATATTTAAAAAGATTTTATTTAAAAAGATTTTATTTAAAAAGATTTATGAGCTCTTCAGGATGGGGAGCTTTTAACAATGTAGACCTTGCAATATATAAATTAACTAGGCATGACTGCTCATATTCATAATGCTACTAAGTGAATCATATAATGAAAATATTGCTCCTAAATGTATCATCTATAAATATAATTTTAATATTTAATTAATCAATTTACAAAAATTATTACTAACTTTGTCTAATTCAATAAATAGAAACATTAAAATATATTTTTAAATTAAGCGGGTTATCATATGAAAATGAATTGTCACGTGATAAAAAGTTATTAATTATCATGGTGTTAGGTTTAGTATATTTTACTAAATATCACGGGTGTTAGCTTTAGTATATTTTACTAAACATCACGGGCGTTAGCTCTAGTTATAAGACTAATTTACTTTATTTATATAAATGATGTTGATAAATTTATTTTTATATAATATCTGTTAAAGGTAGACAGGGAATAAAACAATAGATAAAAAAAAGTAATAAAAATATTTTATTTTAATATTAAAATTTTTAACTACTTGTAATCTAACAAATTTCACTTATATATATATAAGTATGTCGACAGTGGGAATTCGGAATCTCTTGATTTTAAATCCTTTACGGAGGGTGATTCAAAAAATTTTAAAAATCCGATTTAACCTGAAATTCTAGCATATGTAGAGTTTCAGCCAATTTTATCCATAGACATTTTAATAATTATATATAGTTGTTTTATTAATTATAAAAAAAATTAATTACAACATTAGTAATTAATACAGAGTCTACATGAGCGGGGGGGGGGGGGGGTAGGAACAGTTTGCGTCCTAATATCTATAAAGGGGTAGGGGGTAGGCATTTTGGGGGGTAGGCTATAATAATCTAGAAAATTTTCCATCACATTTTTAAATTATCTATGGATAACTTTGGTATATTAGGAGGGTAGATATATATTTTTGAGGGGGGTTTGCATCCAGTGAATATACTGTCATGTAGACGCTGAATTAATCAATATAATTATTAAAAAATTTTAAAAAAATAATATTTATGATAATTTTTTTTTTTTAAAAAAAATCTCATTTCTTTTATTTTTTAAAAATTATTTATATTTAAAATAACATGTAAAACTATTTGTAAAATAAAATTTATATTAAAACTATATTAAATAAAATAATAATTAAACATTTAATTAGGTATGATCAACGGGGCTTATCGACCCATGTATGGATATGCAGTTAGCGGCAGATTTCAGTAGATATTCTCTGTCGAAGGTAGAAGCCTTCTTTTGGGTCATCTGTGATTAAGCGTAACCTTTGCCCTATTGTTTTGAATATTTATTTATTAACTTTACTTAAAAACAAAAAAAAGAGAATTGTTTTGTATAATTAACAAGAATTCTGATTAATCATTAGGGTCAATTGTATTCATAAAACGAATATAATTTGCATTTAATGATGACTATTGGTATCATTTGTCTAATAAAAGCATTCGCGAGGCTCTCCTGAATTTTTTTTGAAGAATTTTAAACAAAATTGATATTACCCTAACAATGATAAAAGATCCTATATAAATTACTACAGTAGATAATTTATTTAATAAATAAGATAGATAATTGCATGCTATTGCATTTTTATCATCCTCTATTAGTTGTTCAGCGTACTTTATCAAGCTTTATCTTTTTTGCCAATACGATTTTTTATCTCAATCCATTGGTGCAGACTATCGACGTGTTTTTTGGGATTCGTGATCCTTGATTTGATCTGATAAAATATTTTCACCCATTGAAGCCCTCGTTTGAAAATTTGATTTTCTAATTCGCAATGAGTTTACAATAAACAAAACAATTTTAACGAGTTAACACCAGACAAAAGCAATTTATTAAAATATTATTTAAAAGTTTTCGCATACAGAAAGAAGCCCAAAAAATGTTCAATTTAGTGGAAAAGATTATCAGTTATATTCACCTGTTCCCTGTTTATGTTCAAGTATCTAGAAGAACTATTGTTAATTGCTTGCATTTCCCTATATCACGTGAAAGAAAACTTGCTGATTAAACGGGATCGTCAAGATTGGTCATAGAATTATTAATGTGTTCATTAACGATATCGATTATTTCTCCCTTTTCATGGCGCATGATGTACCTTTTTGTTTTAAAAGTGTTATAGAGATTTTGAAAATGAATAATTCCAGCTTCCAAAATATTTCACTTTAGTTTCTCAGAACCCTAATCAAATTTGTTTTCTCTTTCCATTTTTCATATAACCTATATAATAAAAGATTGTATGGATACGTTGCCACAATTCATTACACCAGTAATTTGTTTTTATAAATCTAGTTTGTTTTTCTTAGGATCCGAAACTAGTATATAATAGATGTTAAACATTATAATAATACTACGGGCATAAATGGGTTAAATCGTATTAAATGCCAGAGCCTTCAACAGTTCTATTCGTCAACTAATAAACTACTCGGTCTATTCCTATAAAAAAAACTCGAATCTCCAATATCCTAGAACCTTGTAGCTTTTTATCATAGAATAGTCTTAGATCTGATACCCTCACAAGTATTTTGTGGGCTGTCATCTCTTAACTGGGATTATACCTGTCTTACCCCTTTCTCTACAAATATCAATAGCAACACTTGCTCAAATCGAAACATAAAAGATAAATAATTACAAAACATTGGGTAACTTTATGTTTACTCCAATTGCCATATCTACCAATGAAAATTTTGCCCTTAACACTTTCGTTTTTTTTTTAAAAAAACTTTCGCCCACGAAACAACACATTGGAAGCCAAAGAATTTCTTTTCCTGAGACAAAGATTGCAAATTGAAATGTTTAAATATCATTATTTAACCTTTTTAGACTCAATTATGTTTTTCATAATTGCCCCCTTCCCTTTTTATTAAAAACATAATTAATTTTTTATTTCGTTTTTTTAATCTATAGTCTTTCATTGATAAAATATATATTTTGAAAGAGAAATAAATTATTTGGCTTAAAAAATATAGCCGATCATAAAACTTACGTAATGAAGTCTATGGTACAAACATTTTTTTTTCTTAAAGGAAAACTAATCATAATATCCAAAGAATGCCTCTTGGGCGATTTCGAAAGCCATACTTTTAAAAATTAATAAATAGTTTCATAATTTTATAAAATAAACTTCTGAAGATCATTTGTAATATAAAAAAAAAGTAATTTAAATAACAAATTTTTTTTTTGTTTTAACAAGATATAATTAGACCTTTTTTAAAAAAAATCACAAAATAATTAACCAATTCTTAAATTTTTCTTAATTTTGATCTGTAAGAAACAACCCCCCCCCCTATCTCTCTGCCTCCCCCCTCTTAATGGGAGAAAAATAAGTAAAAATGTAATAATTTAAAATATATAATTCAACATATTTATAGAAAATATATGGAATTTTATCAAAAACAAAATGAAAGACTAAATTTATTCTTTATAATATATAACGTAGCCAAAGGTTTGTATGTGAACTTATAGATATCCAATAAAATTTATAGTGAAAATCTAACATACACCCCTCTCTCCTTCTCTTATATAATCAGCTATTATATATCATATTTTTTTGCTTTTAGAAAATATATTTATCATTAAAAAAATACACATTTTGCTTAAAAACGAATCTATAACTGAATAGTTAATAGAAATTTATAGCTTAACTAGATATCATCTAGGGTAAAATTTTTAAAATTAATTATTTATAGCTCTCGTTTTTATTAATTTTAAACAATCTGGTTTTGTCGAAAATTTTTTTAAAAAAAAAATACTGCCGTAAAATTTTGAACTACTCATAATTTATATTCATTTATATATATATGTGTATTTTAATAAATTAAAAATTAAACAATGAATTCAGAATTACACAAAAATTAATTGCGAAAATGTCTTATTCACTGGGTTACTCTATATTTGCCGAATACGACTTTTACAAAATAAAGCCTTTAAAAATTAATAAAAAAGGTGGGTTGCTTCATAAATTCGCTAAAACTATAATCAATGAAGAATAGCCCTGGATTAGTTAAACCCAGTGGCGTAGCTACGGGGGGGGGGTTTCGGGTTTGGACCCCCCCCCCCCAGAGCAATTAATTTTTTTTTTAGAATATTCGTTTAAAAGACTTAAAAGTGACTTTATATCAAATAAATACCATGAATATTTATATTTTTCTGGTTTTGATGTTTGTGGAAGGATATTATTACTTTTAATTTTAAATATATATATATAAATTATTCTGTATATTATTTTAAAGTCATTGATAATAATCTATTAATTTTAATAATATATTATTGATGCATTTTTAAAAAATATTTATTATAAATTATCCAAGATATGGTTCGAAAATAATAATATGAAATAAAAAAGTGCATAATCAACCCCCCCCCCCCCCTCAGAGAAATTTTTTTTAGATTATTCGTTCAAAAGATTCAAAAGTGACTTTATATCAAATAAATACCATGAATATTTATATTTTTCTGGTTTTGATATTTGTGGAAGGATATTATTACTTTTATATATATATAAATTATTCTGTATATTATTTTAAAGTCATTGATAATAATCTAATAAATTATAATAATATATTATTTATGCATATTTAAAAAAATATTTATTATAATTTATCGAAGATATGGTTCGAAAATAATAATATGAAATAAAATAGTGCATAATCTACTTTCTCATGCTTTTGAGGTTAAAAAATATTTAATCCAGTGTACTAATTAATATCTTATGCATTATAGGCTCTATTGAAAATAATAAGGATGATGTAAATACACCAGGTCAAAATAACATTTAATATAAAAAATATTTAAAATTAATAGCTAACTATTTTTATTTTAGAATTTAAAATTAAACACCTAGTCATAGTTTTAACTAAATTAAAATTGCCAGTACAAACCACTTTGGGTAATTTATTATTTTAAATAATTTTGGCTAACCAAAATATTTTGACATTTATAAGATATACCCAAACGTAGGAGGGAAGAAAATGATCTTGATACACTCATTTATATACCCAAAGACCATATAAAATCACTACCTAGTACAATTAATATAATCTATTAAGATTTAAATATTTTTTATTATAGATTTAGATATATCAAGTATTACATTTAATAAAAATGATGATAGTCAACAAAATGAACACACCAAATCACTAATTAATATAGAAAATCAAAATTTTAATGATGAACTTGATACCATAAGCAACAATTTACCACCCACATCAGGTATTTTATAATGACCTTATTTAATGAATCACTAATTAATATAGAAAATCAAAATTTTAATGATGAACTTGATACCATAAGCAACAATTTACCACTCACCTCAGGTATTTTATGAACTTATATGACCTTATTTAATTGTATTCATTTAAATTTTAGAAATACCTAGATACTCTATAAAAAATTATGATAAAAATAAGCTAAATACACTTGATCACTTCAAATCTCTACCTAGTAAAAGTAATGTTAACTATTACCTTTAAATATTTATATCATAATTTTAGGTATATCAAGTATCATATTGAAGAAGAATGATAGTAGTCAACAAAATATTATAGGCTGTATCAATTTAGAATTTAAAGGTTATCTAATATGTTGTTTTATTTTAATTTATTTTTATAGGAATATCTCAATTAATATTCACACCAAGGGGTAAAAAAAATAGTGATAACAAACAAAAAAATACACTAAGTCACAACAAATCACTATCTAATAAATGTAATGTAATCAATTACTTATTAATATTTACATTAAAATTTTAGATATATCTAAAAAATCTAGGGAGAATTTAAATGGAAATGAAGTTCCACTCATGTCAGGTATTAGTCTTATTTAAATTATATTTATTTAAAATCTTAGCAACCCACATACTCCAGAAACCTAAGGGTTAATAGACAACCAATTATACTAGATCATTTAGAACCATCACCTACTACAAGTGATATAGTCTATTACTTTATACTTATAATAATCAAAAGTTGGTTCCAAAGCTAACATGTCATCTATGATTATTAGCCTAGGTTTCTCAATATTAATTTTAAACATCTATCATATATTGGTAAAAAAATATTGCCAACACAATTTTGATTTTTTCACTTTGAAGGATATCCACTTAAATTTACAGTTTAAAAAAAACATTTATTTTTTAATCTATATTTATAATGTGTTTACTAATTATAAAATATATCATTTATAATTAAGGCAATATAATATTTATAATTAAAGCAATTTATATGTGTAATACTAATATATATAATTAAGGCAATATAATATTTATAATTAAAGCAATATAATATTTATAATTAAAGCAATATAATATTTATAATTAAATCAATATAATATTTATATTTTAAATAATCTCTTTTTATTTGTAAATAACTTCTAAAAGTGTAATAAAATGAAACGTATATCAATAAAATTGTGTCAATGTGTTATTTTAATTAAAATTATGTCAATGTGTTATTTTAATTAAAATTAGTGGTTAATGGCTCAATTTTAGCCGATATGGCTAACTCAATATATTAGCCAGAAAATTTTGCTCATGGAGATACAAGTTTCATATTATTCGAGAAATCTCTAGGCTTGAACAATATTTTTTGGCAAAAATATTGAGTTAGCTGTTTATAAAAATCAGCTCAAGTCGAGCCGTTTAACAACACTAATTAAAATAATTAATAATTCTAGGACTTTTATATTATAAGAAAAGCCAATATGATTTTTAAAATAAACCCGGCCGGGCAAAGGGCCGAAGGCCCGTAAAAGGGGGTCTGGGGGGCGAAGCCCCTTAGGCTTTTATATGTGGACCCCCTCTAAGGAAAATTCCTAGCTACGCCACTGGTTAAACCCCTACGACATAACATAAAAATATATATTACTAAGGCATGGCAGAAATTATTCCCTATCCTATCATAAATAATTCCCCTTAGTTTTATTATCCATGCCTAAAAAAGATTTACCCGCAAATCTTTTCAAGATTTAAACATGCCAAAACTGACTGATCACGTAGCTTTCTTCTAAGGGACCCCACATAGTTGCAACACATGGTCATTGCTTAAGCTTAAATTTCTTATTTAAAAATCATTAAATTTAATTTAAGAGGCGGTACAATGCGGTTTAACGACTTTAAAATTTTAATTCTCCGTGAAATCTCTTTAAAACATTTTGTAGGGGTTTCTTTCTACCAAATTTCTAATTTAAGAAATATATCTTTTAGCCTACTTCACACAGCTTTTATCCTTTCAGCCTAAGTATTGCCTTCCATAAACTAATGCGTCAATTGACATGGCAAGATTGTAGATTGTACCTCTCAAATTTCAGGATAAACATAATTTTTATTTTCATTTGTGAGGCAAAACTTTTGAACTCACCGTATCATTCGCGTAGGCAAAGCCAAAAAATGCAGATGCCGGATATATTTTTCAAAAATATTATTGTTTATATTAATTTATATTTTTAATATTTATTCGTATCTCATATTAAATATATATTTAATTACATTTATTATCAAATTTATCTACTAAGTTATTTTATCAATTAATTTCGATTTCAAGTTTTCCGGCGGAATATTTACTTATTATTTTCAAATTTTTAGTGGCGTAATATTAATCTACTATTTTCAAATTTATAGTCAAATAATTATTATTTCTGAAACTTCTTGTCCAACAGGGAAAAAAAAATTGCAACCTTGTCCAACGAGATAGAGTCTCTGCCATCAAGCAGTAACAGCTTTTAAGGAGTTTAAGCCAATTATTTGCTATTACTGAAATATCACAATGGCCTGAAAGAAATATTTCCTCAGAAGCAAGAAAATTATTGGATTCAATTCTTATTCCAAATTTTATTTCTCATTAGAATGTATTATTTATTTTTTTACGGCCCGGCCTGGGTTTTTTTAAAAAAATTTTAGGCCCGGCTCGGCTTTTTTTAAAAAAATATTAGGCCCGACTCGTTTTTTAAAAATTTTCAGGCCCGGCCCGGCTTTTTTTAAAATAAAATTTTCATGCCTGTCTTAGGTGTTTTTTTAAAAAATTTTAGGGCCGGTGTAACGTTTTAAAAATACTCCATTTTTTTATATACTCCTTTAAGCTTATTTGTGGAGTATTTTCAGATCATATTGTTCGATTATAATGTATTTACATATCAGAGTATATTTAGATCAATGTAATTTTTATAATGATATTTTTTTGAAAAAGTGCTCATGTCAATCAAGAAACATTATTCTGGAGCTGATGATGCTGAGGCGATTTTTTTGAATTTCCAGTCAAATTTTTTAGGTCGTAAAGGATATTTGCCCCGTTGGCGCCTTTTTTAAACTCCATTTTAAAAAATAAATACAGGTTCATATTCATATATTTTACATTATAAATTTTATTTTATTATAGAAAATAAAAGAAGCTACAAATTTATCATTGATTCAAGAAGCTAAAGATTTATTATTGATTCAAGAAGCTAAAGATTTAAAAATACAGGTTTATATTAATATATTTTACATTATAAATTTTATTTTATTTTAGAAAATAAAAGAAAAGATTTATCATTGATTCAAGAAGCTAATCATTGATTCAAGAAGCTAATCATTGATTCAAGAAGCTAAAGATTTAAAAACAGGTTCATATTAATATATTTTACATTATAAATTTTATTTTATTTTAGAAAATAAAAGAAGGCTAAAGATTTATCATTGATTCAAGAAGCTAAAGATTTATTATTGATTCAAGAAGCTAAAGATTTATTATTGATTCAAGAAGCTAAAGATTTATCATTGATTCAAGAAGCTAAAGATTTAAAAACAGGTTCATATTAATATATTTTACACTATAGTTTTATATATTTATTTTAATTATGTCATTATATCTTAATACTAAATTTAATTCTATACATGAATTAAACGATGCCATATCTATATATGAAAAAGAATTTTTTTTTTAACATAGTTATTAATAAATCAGACTTATTAAAGGAACCTTATAGCAAAGCATTTATAGCTCAATATAAATATAATCGAGTTTATTATATATGTAAATATGGACTGAAAAAAAAATAAGTCTAGAGGTATAAGATCCTCATCTAGTCTTCGCAAGCAATGTATTTTTATGTTCACAGTCTTTCTTCAGTGTGATAAACTAAATGTGTATTCTTTAGATATTGTCACATTTGTAAAAGATCATAAAAACCATGATCTAGGTTAGACATATTTATTTGATTTTTAACTAACATGATTTATATAATCAAGATAAAAAACTATATGAGATGCTCTCTAAACAAAGAAGGCTTTCTCCAATAAAAAAACAAATTGTGGAGCAAGTTATCACTTTTAAAGCTAATAAGTTGAAAATACAAGAATATGTTCTTAATTCAGGTCAGATGATGACTCTGAGAGATATTCATAATATTTCAGCCAAATTAAACAAGCCATCTGATAATGTATTACTTGATGTAATAAATCAACTCAGGGAAGATAATGGAGCTGTGGTGGAAATCCTAGAAAATGATAGTGAATTGTTGGGCATTTACTTTCAAGATGCTAGCATGCTCCATTATCTTAAATATTATCCTGAGGTGATATTCATTGATGCTACCTACAAATTAAACAATCTAGGTATGCCACTGTTTATTCTACTTGTAATAGATAGTCATGGACAATCTCAAATTGTCGCTTTATGGCTTGTAAAGGCGGAATCATATTTTTGTGTTAAAAATATGTGCATGATGCTTGGTACCAGATGAAAAAATTGTCTGCGGGAAAATGGCTGATGTTAAATTGTTTTATATATTTTCTTCAAGATACATTTAAAATATTTGCCTTTAAAATGCCATCTCCGAGAAATAATGGAATGCCATATCTTTATTTGAATGGAAAACAGGCCTATTTAATCTTTTATATTTTATAGATATCAATAAAAATCACTTTATCATCATTGGAGAAGACCTTAACATGAAATTATGTAATGAAATCACTAATTCTCTTATTGGTTTTGCTACTTTAAATAATCAACTTTTTATAAACAAAGAAACAATAAATATCACACATACTTCAAACCCTCAAACAAATATACTCCTATAATCCTTAAAAAATATAATATCTCTAATCTTAATTTACCAACCCCAGCAAATAATTTTCTACATAATTTGACTCAAATCAACAATAATGACTCATGGTTAAACATTTCAAACTCAATTATCAAAACAGCAAATACCCATCTTAATATTAATTATCAATATCTATACATAATGTACATAAATACAAATGTGTTATTTAATTATTTCTGCTAGCAATATAATTATACATGAATGGGTTTAAATTTAATCATCAATATGTGTCATTAAATCATCACAACACAAATTCTCATTAAATATTTTCTTTGTTATTTTTTATTTTTCAATATTATTTTTTAGATGTTACAAGAAAAGGTATAGTTTTAAAAAAAATTAATTATATATTTATATATTTATCAAGATGACACAATTAAATCAGGACAGAAATAATGTTAATACTTTTTAAAATTTATTAAATAACTTTAAACAGTTCCTAGGTCAAGTGAAAAGTTTCATTCTAGTACCATAAAAGGTATACAATGGATTTTATTATTAAATAATATTCCTTTTTTTAGATGATGATGAAAATTTTCAAGAACCAGCTATTAAAAATCTAAAGCTTAATGCGGAAGAAAATCATATGAAGGGTAATATTTTCATATATTTAATATTAAATCCTTTTTGAAAATATCTAGTTATGAATATACTAAATTCGATAGTTGGAGAGGATTATAATTGTATAAACAAAAAAGGTATAATAAAAAAAATCTAATATACATATTTTTTTAGATGATGGAGTTAAGACACCAGAAAAAGCATCGAAAATGCTAGAGCCTGATGACATTCGACCTTTTGGTAACATTTTTAAGATTTGATAAAATCAATTTTTTAATTTAATAGGTGGCCCGCCGGAGAGGACGGGCATGGCTCAAAATGCCGTTTATGGTACAGAGGTGGAGATAGTTGCAATGACTACTATGCTCCAGACTAATATTTTAATACATACTATTTATAAATGGGCATACTATATGCCCATTAAAAAATTAAGTAATATTAAAAAATTTAATGTAAATATTTATTTAATAAATCATAGCGAACATATTGATCGCATAATTAATTTTAATTAATATTTATATCGCATATAGCATATATTATTTATATCGCATATATTATTAATTGATTTTTTTATCTTTATATTTACAAATTAAATAAAGGATTTTAATAAATTATTCTGAAAATTGTTTCTAACTTTGAGCAGTAACGTGATAATAGATAGTGCAAGATTTATATGTTAATCTTTGATATTTTCGAATTAAACCTTAAATAAATATATAAATTTTTAACACTTAATATTAAATCTAATAATTTCTAAAGAGAATAAGGCAAAATTGCCTTAAATATCATAGGACATAGAAAAAATAATATTTATTATTCATACGTCAGTTATAAATGCCAATTCACTAAATTTATTATATTTAATATTTATATGTCAGTCATAAACGTCAATATCACTAAAAATGTAATATTTAATATATGCACGTCAGTCATAAACGTCAATATCACTAAATATAGGAGTATATAAAAAAATGGAGTATTTTTAATTGCCTTAAATATCATAGGTAAATTTTATTATTCATACGTCAGTTATAAATGCCAATTGACTAAATTTATTATATTTAATATTTATATGTCAGTCATAAACGTCAATATCACTAAAAATGTAATATTTAATATATGCACGTCAGTCATAAACGTCAATATCACTAAATATTGGAGTATATAAAAAAATGGAGTATTTTTAAAACATTACACCGGCTCGGATATATTTAAAAATATTAAAATACTGTCCAACCCGGGGGTCGGGCCTGCAGGTCTCTGAAAAACATATCAAGAAGTACAACATCTGAAAGTAGATTGAAAGATTTGGATCTTTTGAATATTCATAGGCATTTGACGACAAGCAAGGATAAGATAATTGAAAATTTAGCTCAATCACAACGAAGATTGGATTTTACATTGTAATTATATAACATATAAAATGCAATTATTCCTAAGAAACTTTTTGTGTAAAGGCTCAAAATATTCAAATTTCTATTTTAGGTCATTTAAGTGATTATTTACATATAATTTTTTTATAATTCACATATAAATTTGTGTATTAGTCCTAATAAATTTATGCTTGATATTTAAAAAAAAACAATTATATTTCTTAAAATATTTTATTACCCCCCCCCCCCCCCCCCCCCAGACTAAATACCTACGTACGCACCTGCACCGTTTTATTCCATAAAAATATAATTACCTATTTGTATCCATTTATTAGTATTGTTAAATTCCCTATTTGATTAAATTTTTAAAAACAGTATTGCGTAAGCATCATTTGGCAAATACTGGTCCAAACCCTCTGCCATCAATAATGCTATCACTAGATTGGCGATTTCTTAATTAAATGCACTTGAAAGTGCTCATACTTAGGAATAAGCTGCAGTGCCATTTTGCGGTTTGTAAGTTTATTAAATGACATTAATATGCATCCATATAATAATAAATAAAGAAAATTAGTTGATATACAAACTATAAAATGGTGCTAGTATGGTACTTTTAATTAATAAATCGCTAATCTAGTGGTATAATACATCAGTTTCTGTATACATGATTAAAATTTCTAGGCTTATGAAATATTATTTTGGCTAAAATTTTAATCTGGCAGTTTTTGAATCTGGTCAAATGGGATTAAAAGACCTACCAATTAGGAATAATAGCAAAAGAGTGTAAATTCTATTTTTTTGAAGAATAATATTCATATACAAAATAAGAGCAAAGCACCTATTCTATACCTTTACATCACTCTAAATTCTATATATTGTCAATAACTAAAAATATTTATTTATTATTGAGTTTAGTATTTTGCAAAATAATATATATTCATATAAAACTAAGTTTTATAAAATATTAATTTTTTAAATAAATTAACATATCAAATAATAATAAACATAATATAACAAAATTATGGCTGCTTTTATAAAAAGCACATAAACATATGATTTTAATTTTTTAATTGGGGTAATTATTTTCATTTAGTCATTTAAATTTCGCCATTTCTAAAAGAAGATAATCATGTCATCCACTGGAGTTACAACTAATTCTTATAATACCAATACAACTGGTAATGATAATTTATATTTTCAATCAGCTGCCATTATGAATAAGCCACCAATTACTCTCACTCGTACCACGACAAATCCTATACCAACTGCGATTATAAGACCTCTTACGCTAGGTTCTCAACCTTTTTTTCAAGGTATCCATTCTAATTTACCACCTTTTTACTACCCAAATCAATTACTTAACATGCCTATAAACTCTACATCTAATAATTTAGCAATGCTGGCTGCTGCACGTCAGCATCAACAATTTTTATTATCTAATGCAAATTCTCAACAATTATTTTCACCAAATATTTCTTTTACTAACAATATGTTAGCGCCTAAAGTAACAATAGCATTTACTAACAATTATACACAAGGTATAAATAATCAAACTCAAGTTAGCTCTATAACATCTACCCCTGCCAATAATTTATATTTTATGGGAGCACAAAATATTCCAAGGATACCATTTTCTCTGGCTGCCTTAACCTCGCATCCTATGAATCTGCTTAATTTAAATCATTTATCATTAAATAGCATACAAAACTTGACAACAAGCATTAATACCAATATAAATAATAAAGTATTAAACTATGGATTAATAACTTGTTCAATCACTCAAAACACCACCTCAACTTTAAATTACAATTTATCAAATATGGGCTTTATAAGCTATCACAATACAAACATATTGCCATCCTTAAATAATAAAATGTCTATAATATCATCACATTCTCCTTCAATGATTTTAAATCCTAATGGCAACAATTTTTCTTTCTCTCACAATTTTTCAGCTAACCTTAATCAACAACAGTTTCAGCGGTTAAAAGTTGAGGATGCCTTATCATATTTAGATCAAGTGAAAATGAGATTTGGCAACCAACCTCAAGTCTACAATGATTTTCTAGATATAATGAAGGAATTTAAATCACAAAGGTACGTAATTAATTTTTCCCTTTAACACTTATAAAATATATAACAGAGATGCTCTAATAAATTTCAACTAATATCTTGGTATTGGCTATTATTCACACTGTAAGCATTACCCATATTAACTAATAATTTTAACCCAATATCAGTCCAATATACTTGGGGAATTATGATATTTTTAGCAATTTAACAAATTAAGCCAATTTTTATCTGGCTAAAATATCAGCTAAACCCATTTTTAACCGAAAACTATTACTAGGCCCTCGTGGTTTTTTTTAAAAAATATAGCAACTTAAATTTAAAGAAACTAATTTAAATTAAAGCACTCAAATGATAACGGACTTCCTCCAGCACTCATCTGTAGAATGAGCCTTATTAGCAGACATTTACTCATTACCCAACTATAGTGACCAATATACAAAAATAAATAAAAAATTAGCCTATTATAAATAGACAAGAGATGTAAAATATTAATTCAAATATAAAAATAACTATTATAAAAAAAGAAAGTGTTGTTAATCCTTTTCTTATCACCTTCTTACAAGTGTTGTTCAACGGCCTGATTTGAGTCAATTTTTAAAAACGGCTAACTCAATATTTTATCCAGAAAAATCTTACTCAAGCCTAAAGATTTATCTCATAGATGGCACAAAGGTCTAGACATCTATTAGCGAGATCTGGAGCTTTAGGCAATATATTCTTTATTAGCAAAATCTGGAGCCTTAGGCAATATATTCTTTGGCTAAAATATTGAGTTAGCCATTTTTAAAAAAATGGCTCAAAATGCGTCAACACTACTTCTTACTTTTTTAAAAAAAAATCTTGTTGTGGAATCAATTATATTATCAAAAAAATAATAATTTACGAGCTTCTATAAAATTCAATCCAGAGGCATTATGGCTTTAATTAAAAATCAAAATTTTTTACGTGGAAATAAAGATTGGTTCTAATTTGTTCTTTATTAGAATTTTTATGTAAACTTAATTATTTTTAGTATTATATTTCATTTTTTTTTAAAAAAAACCTGGTTCTGTTTTAAAAAAAAATTATTTCAAAAGAGCAACAAAAAAAAATAGCTGAGTAGTAAATGAAGTTACAAAATGATTCATTATTTTATTATAGTTTAGCAATTACTTAAATTCATTTAATCCATATTTGTCAACCTTTTAAGGTTTGGTTTTTTTAAAGAAAAAAAATGCTGGGTTAAGTACTGGGTGGGTTAATTATTTAAATTTTTTTTTTAAACCCAACCCAGAATGGTTTTAAAATATTGGGCAGTGTATTGGGCCAGTTCGTGAAGATCTACGATATATATTAATTATAATATACTAATTATTTTAATCTCTAATTATACATTTCCAAAATCTGAGTGTTATTTTATTGTATTTTTTTATAGCATCGATACCCCGGGCGTTATAGGTAGGGTTTCGGGCCTTTTCAAAGGTCACCCTGACCTCATAGTAGGCTTTAACACGTTCCTCCCGCCCGGATTCAAGGTGGAGATCAATAATTATGGAGCCGCAGTTCCTTTAGGTGCAAACTCGCTCGCTTTCACTTCTGCCACCCACAAAAGGTCTTCGGACAAATGTCCCCCAGCTTCAAGTAGTGCCAGTACACCCAACGCTCTCTCCCTATCCATCTCCAACTTTAACCCTTTGGCTAACGTCAGTAGCGGTCCTACGTACGTGAAAGCTAACGTCATCCCTACCGCTTCTATCCAGCAATCTTTTTTCAGTCCCATGCTTGTTTCCACCTCGAGTCACGTTGCAGGGACAACCATACCTTCTTCCACCACGGGCGATAAAGGAATAGGGGGAAGGTCATCCAACATGGCCTTCACCGGGAAGGATTTGGTTAGTTGTTTTAAAATAAAAACATCACTAAATTATCAAAGTTATCTGCCGAAATGTTTAAATTTCTATTGTCTAGACAGTTTGGAATGGATTAAAATTTGGGAGCTTGAAATTTATTACCCCATTAACCGTTTTCCAAAAATTCAGGCCATCTTGGCCAGGCCTCTATTAAATCGACGCGTGATTTTGTATATTTTAACATAATTTATATAGCCTAATAATTATAAGATAATAGCCAATAATTAGGGATGTACCGATATTTTATATCGGATCGGAGCGGGCCGATATTTCGCCCATTTTAAAATATCGATTATCGGCAAATATTATAAAATTTTCCGATCCGATATAAAATGGCGCTTTTAACAAAATTTTTAAAAAAAAGTTATATCTAAAAATCCATTTATTTTTATAAATGAAATCGGAATATATTTTTATGCTTAATTATTTTAATAGTAATAATTAGTTAATAAACATTCTGCAATATAGTTATTCTTTTTCGCATTCTGTTTAAAAAAAAGTGTTCATTAATCTCTTCAGAATCTGTTTTTTAGTGATACCAGTGATATTAACAGTCCCCATCACAGCAGACCGATCTCTGATAAATTGGAAATTTTGGTGTTTCTAAAAAGAAATCTTCGATATATTAATTTTAAATATTAATTTCAAATTTCACAATATATTTGTTTATTACTAATTATGTAAATATATTAATGTTATTACTTATTATATAAATAATAGCAATTGAATTGAATATAAACTATAACTGATCCTTATAATATATTTAAATGACGTATGTTATGGTATAGTAAAATTATAAATGTTCTACTAATAAAAAGTATATTAAAAATTAAAACCGGTATCTTTACTGAATACAAAATTAGATATGATATCGCATCAGTTATCGGCCGATATCAATTAAATATCTGGAATATCGGATCGGATCGGCTCCAAAAAGTGGTATCGGTACACCCCTACTAATAATATATATATATATGAAAGAAATTATGCTTACACAATTTTTTATTCATTTTCGAATTTTGGACGCAAAAAATACGATTAAGTAATATCGGATCGCTAAAATCGGCCGATATGAATTGAATATCGGATTTTTCTCCGATTACAAGAGGCGGATACACCTTATGCCACACTTATATGTCTTCTTTTTTTTCTTTTCAAATAATGCACAAGATATATCGGATTTATTATTTTGTTGTTTAAGTTGGAACACAAGCCCAGCTTTTTCACTCCCATCGCTGTCACAAAGCATAACAACCCGACTCCTCTAAACGTTCCCGCCACCGTGCAGCCCAAGATAGAGATGCCCGATAACTTCCCCGTCTCCGGTAACGTCACGCATTCCCGGGCGGAAAGCGCTAAGCACCCCTCCAAAAAGGACACCCCCAAGAAGTCTTCGAAGGACAGTCCCGACATCAAACCTATCGTGTCGAGCTCCGCCGGTGATAATTCTAACCTCCCACAACCAGTCGAGTTCAATCACGCCATAAATTATGTCAACAAAATCAAGGTTTCTTTATTTACTTTTTTTTTTATGCACATAAAAAAAATAATGGGAGGAAGGGAAATGGAGAAAAGGTCGACTTCTTGAAAGAAAGAAAATAAAATTTAGGGAAGTTGGAAAGACTACAATGTCTCGATGAAGTATCGTGCAAGATTCTGATCTTTTATATAGATCCAAAAATGGTTGCCCTAAGTTCCCATCTTGAATTGAGTTTTAGTAATCATATGTTTTAGAGTCAACCCCCCCCCCCCCTCCTCCTTTTCATTAATCTATAGATGAACAAAATTATATAAATAAAAGTTACGTAACAAAACATATATATATATATATATATATGCATATGCAATGTAGAATCGATTCCAGAACAAACCAGAAGTTTACAAGTCGTTTCTAGAGGTGCTGCACAGATACCAAAGGGAACAGCGATCCTTGCGCGAAGTATTTAGAATATATATTTTTTAATATACATACATCTTCTTAAACTTTGAAATGGTTGGGTTTTTTGGAAGGAGAGTTCCATGAAATTATATATTCTTTTTGTGTCAATATTATGTATTTTTTAAAAAAAACAACAAAAAAAACAGGCTTGAATAATCTAAATTTTTGGAATTCACACTAAAATATCAAGTTTCATAATAGTAAAAAGTTCCATGAATTTATATATCCTTTTTGTGTCAATATTAGGTATTTTTTTTAAAAAAAAAACAAAAAAACAGGCTTGAATAATCAATTTAACTAAATTTTTGGAATTCACACTAAAATATTAAGTTTCATAATAGTAAAAAAAAAATCTATACCTGTTTTATGATAACGAATTTTCGATAAAATATTGATAAATTTATATTTTTCATGTGAATTGTAGTAACAGTTTTTTTTCCTTCAAGTTTATAATAAAAAAATATATATTGGTGGGTGGTGTATTTTATATATTATATATATCTAAAATTGGTCGATCTAATAGTTAGAACCTTATAATATTCGGATGCGATATAATCGTTATATTTTTTTTTTAGAAGACTGAAAGAAACGAATAATTTTTTTTTATTATTATATTTTCTCAAGAGCAAGGATCCTTCTTACAAAGGTTTGGGCGCCCTGGAAAATCCTCAGATCAAAAAGTTGAAGCAACTGACAGGCATTGACATGTCCAGCAACAGTGGCAACAGCACGGACACAGAGTCGGACGATAATTCTAGCATTAAGACCATTAGTAAATCGTATTCTTCATTGTTTTGTTTTTTTTATTCAGCTGAATCACGTGATTTTTTCCCATTTTTATTTCGAGATTTTTTTTTATTTTTAAACGGCCTAACCGGAATTCAGCTAGATCACGTGATTGTTTATCATTTTTCTTTCGAGATTTTTTTTTATTGGACGATAGGAAGGATATATTTTTTATTATTTTTAAAACAGCCCAACAGGAATTCAGATAAATGTCGTGACTGTTTTTCCATTTTTCTTTCGAGATTTTTTTTTAATAACAATATGTACATCGCCCACAAATCATGGTTCATAGTTTTTTTAATAAAGAAAATGAAAAGAAAGAAAGGAAAAGCAAAGAAAAGAAGAAGAGAAAAAAAACTATTTAAATCTTCGTCACACTTTTAAATATTTTAATTTGGATTTTAAATAAAAGAAGAACCTAAACAAACAACGCACAGGGTGCGAAAATTTCTGACCGAAGCGGAGGTTTATTCTCGGGTGGCTAAGCTCTTCGAAAATCAGACCGATCTATTGGAGGAGTTCGCTCAATTCCTCCCAGACGCCTGCAGGCATTTAGAGGAAACCGACGTCAAAAGTTCCGGTTTATATATATTTTTTTTAAACAATTTGATTGGCATATAATATTAATTAATTAATATTAATTAATATATATGATTGTGGGATGTAAGGAAGATCGCGGATGGTTCCAGAAAGAGAGAGAAAAAATTTTTTTTATAGTAAATATATAGGAAGGGGGGGGGTCGTATACAAAGGGAAAAATTAAGATTATTAGTATTTTAAAATTATTTTTTTATGTAATTCAAATTTCGCGCTTTATTTTTTTTTGTAGCTCTAACTAATATTGGTTTATCCGCCAAAGATTTGAATTATGGTCAATTAGCAACCGACGATAGCGATATCAAAAGTATGAGAAGCGACTTTTTTTTAAAAAAAAAAAACATGTGATCTACTATTTATTTTTTTTTGAGCCAGAATTTTTCTAGGGAGAAGAAGGGTAATTTTGGGGAGGAATCGGTTATCTTTCACGAATTTTTTTTTTCTAGACGCCTTTTAGGTCCACTAAAAAAAAATAATTATTTATTATCCTTTTGGAGGAGAGAAAAGAGGGGATATAATTTTCCATTAATATATATATATATTATATATATATTTAAAATTTGCCATGGGGAAATTTTTTTTTTTGTCCTCCATTCGCTACGCCTGTGACAAAGTGGGGGGGTTGATCCCAAACTTATCCGACTTTAGCTTTATATCTTAGTCCGAGCCCAAATTAAGTGCGCTTACGATCTGACCATAGCTTTTAAGAGGTCGCATTATGCCTATCGCCTCCCGTATTCTTAACTAGAGCCTTGATGGGCGTCCGATCAATGTAATCCTCCCCCCCCCAACAATTACTTTATTATATTTTTTTTGTTTCTTAAGTTAATTTAAAATTTTAAATAAAGGATTATTATGAATTACAAAATTAAATGTCGTGCCTATATTTATTTATATATATATTTATAAATTAGACAAGAAAGTTGACCCATTCATATCCTTAATCGAATCCGAAAAATCGAAGATGAAGGAAATATTGGAAGTCGACGTTAAAGTAATGGAAGAAAAAAAAACAAAATATATTACTTTTTCTCATTTATAAAGAATATACTTTTTTTATTAGACAAGGAAAGTAAGTGTAATGTAATGTTATTAGAGATCTGCAAAACCGGGCCTGGACTATTTTTTTTTTGTTCGAGCTTGGTCGGGTCGAATATTTTTTAAGAAAATTCGGGCCGGGTTGAGTTGAGTCTTAGAAATTTTTTTTTTAAAATATATTTAAATTACCGGGCCAGACAAAAGTTTTTTAAAAAAATTTGGGACCGAACCGGGCTTGAAAAAGTTAGGCCCGATTGTAGATCACTAAATGTTTAGTTTTTTTTTTATTTCATATCAAAAATACATTCATATTTCTTATTTCAAATTCATATATAATAATATAAGAATAAAAAAAATAAACATGTTAAAAAAAAATGACAACATAAAACGATTCCATTACATAACAGAAAGAATTATAAAAATTTTTTCTAATGAAACGAATTAGGAATAATTAGAGTAAAGACCCTTAAATATTATATTTTTTTTTGCAAAAATTGGGAATTGTTCATGGAAAAGAAAATTAATAAAGATAATATCTATCAAAACCCAATATTTTGTAATATCCTATTTAAATCATATTTATATTTATTTATTATACCCTTTTGTCGCATAATATTTTTAATTGATTCCATAATATAATAATATTAATAATCTAACAAAGACCAATCAAAAGTCCATCTTTTCCTTTATAGGAAAAAAAATAATATCGAAAAACCTTTCGTAAATGTCAATTACGAATCGACAGGTACGACAATATCAATCCTCAATTCAAAATGTTTTTTTTAAAAAAATAAAATAAACAGCCGGACATTAAACCGCCTTTGCATCAATTGCAGCGCGAACTCTCCAAGACTGCCGACATCAAAAAGAAGAAATCGACCAATCAAGACAAAGATGTGGTAGGCGTTGTGGACAAGGATATGGAATTCGATTCCGCCAGCCAACACTCGCCGGAAGTGGATGACAAAGCCGTGCGGAAAGTGAAAGAGGAAGAGGAAATCGTCGAAAAAAACACCGACATCGAGGAAGTGCGGAAGGATATCAGTGCCAGCAGTATCCCGGATAAGGACCTGAATAGTGCCCTGGCTAGCGCGAAAAAATTCAAGCTCGTTCTACAGGACGTGACCTTGTCGCAGGCCGTTAAGTATGGGACCCTGGCCGATTACGCCTTTTTCGATAAGGTTTCCCTTATTACGATTTCTTTCTTTTTCCTGGCTGACCAAAAATTTTCCGGGAGCCCCAGAAAAATTAATTTCATTAATTCACACCTTAATTTAAAAAAAAAAGATTAAAAATTATATTTGGTAAAATATTCGATAAACTTGAATAAAGATCATGAACGCCTTGAATAACCAGACCGTTTACAATAATTTCATGAGATGCCTCAATCTTTACATAATGGACATCATCACGGATTGCGACCTCATCTCTCTATCCCAGAAGTTTTTCGTGCGTTTTCCAGAACTGCTTCAAGAACTCAAAACCTTTTTAGGTTTTTGTTCTCCATAATATAATGATATTTTGTGCGAATTGAAAGTTATTTAACTTCAGTGAGCTTTATTTTTTAAAAATCATATTCGGTCCTAAATGGCGCCAAAGTCGAAAAAAAATGCTTAAAATAGGCTTTCTATTTTAAAGAAAAAGGTTAGCGATTTTATTTTTAAAAAAGTTTTTTTTTTTATTACTTGTGGAGATAAATGTAAATTGTAATCCAATTTTTTTTATAGGGTGGGGGCCGCCCTTATTTACAAATTCTCCATCCATTTTATTATCGAAGGTTTTACCGATTCGGGCTCTGCCGTTACGTCCATAATAGGCGGTTATAAATCTTCGGACGCGATCACCAGCGTTAGCGTTATCGTTGAAACGGAAATCAAGGAAGCTATCAAAAAGGAATTTTTGGCCGAAAATGTCGTTCCGCGGGAAACGACAAAAAACGAGGACAAAACTCACAAGGGCGACATTGGATTGGGTCAACATGTCAACATTAATAAGAATTTGGTATTCAATTTCTCCTTTCTTTCTTTCTTTCCTCCCTTTTTTTTTTACCTCGAAGAGATTTGTAGGGATTTTAGGAATAAAGTTGGACGAGAATTAAAGAATATTTATTTTAAGTGGCGGTAAGAAAAAAATTATTTGATCCTTATCACAATATTTATCAGTAAATCTACCACAATATACTTTCCACCCCCCCACTCCCCCTCCCCTACCCGCCCTACATAGTGTTGTTAAACGATACTATTTGAGCCTATATCTTAAAAACGGCTAACTCAATATTTTTACCCAGGAAAATAGAGCCTTAGCCTCGAGGTTTCGCTGATGTCTATGCATTTGCGTGCCATCTGTGAGCGAAATCTTTACGCTCGCGGAATATTTTTCTTGGCGAAATATTTGAGTCAGCCGTTTTTCAAGAAATCGACTCGAATAGAACTGTTTAACAACACCGTAAAAGACGTACCGTTCGGTAAACGTTTAATCGTATATAATAATAAAACAACATTTTGAATATTATTTCAACGTTTTGCAATTATCGATACTTTTAAAATTGTTGGATGTAGTCACAAAACGATATGCAAAAAAAACGGATAAATATAATATTTATATATTAAAAGACCATTAAAAAAAATATAAAGGAGGAATATTATATATTATATATATTTACTACAGAAGAAAAAAAAGGGAGAAAGACGAAGGGAAAACTATTGAATATTCTTGACAATAACTTCAACTAAATTTAGTAAACTTAGCCACCACTACCCCACCTTTAACATTTTAAATTTGTAGGTCCAGTCAGGACTATACGATGGGGAGTTCTGGGAATATTCCCGTCAATTTTGGCTTTTGAGAAATATATTCTAAGAATTTGGAGGAATTTTCTTGTTCGAAATGAAATTATTTGATTTTTTTATTATTTAAAAGTAATAAATAAAAACATGCATTATACATTTTTTAACTTCTTCTTTGTTTTATGGCGATTTCCAGGTTTACCCGGGTAGGCCAGTTTTCCCTCTGATTTTTCTTTTCCATTTTTGACGGTCCTGAACATCAATATTTGTAAGATTCATGTTTCTCATATCCGCCGCTATCACATTTGTCCACGTCATCTTGGGCCGTCCTCTAGGTCTTGATCCTCCTACTTCCACCAAGGTGCATCTCTTTATCCAGTCATCTTTTGTCATACGTTCCACATGCCCAAACCATCTTAGTCTATTTCGTCGCATTACCACTCCAATCATTTCACCCAATCTTGCTCGCAATTCCTTGCTACTCTCAATCTTGCTCGCAATTCCTTGCTAGTCTTTCTCTTACTTAGAGATACCCCCCCCCCCCCCCAAACATCCATCTAATATTAACTGTTATATTAATAATTATCTGGTATTTTTATGTATGTACATTTCTTTTTAAAAAATGATTGCCTTAATCGATAAATAATTTACTATATATTTTTTTTCCCCCTAATCATTGTCTTTTTCTAGCTAACGCGTAAAATCGATTAATACGAAAACACGTGTTTAAACAACACACTTTTATGATTTCCGCGTCAAAAAATATAATAAAGGTTCCAAGTGAAGCCAAATCGAGCACGCCTCTCCCCAAGGAAAAAAGGACAACAGGGGGTGGGCCGAATCATACTATTACCGGTAGCGTTATAGCCTCGTATCATCATAAGGAAAGAGCTTCGGTCCTTACCCACAACTTGAGCCGGTCTTCCACCACCGACAATTACAAAAATGTCATGGCCGCTAATAATAGCTCTGGCTGCGGGACTAACAAAGACATGGCCAAACGTATTCCTGGGGAGTTTACGCTACAATTAGGTTTATTTTTTTTAAATAAATAAATATTACGAATATAATTTTTAGAAATGGGGAAATATTTTGATAGAAAGGTGTCATATATTCGTAATATACGGGGTGACGATTAGTAAAGGAGAAAAATAATTTGAAAAAAAGACCCGCGAGAAAAGAAATTGTGGGAACATTCATTCATTATTTACTGTTGTGTTGAATATATGTGGAACATCTAATAAATGGACCAACATAAAATAAAAGGTTTTAATAGATTTGAAACTATGTACAGTTAGATTACTTTTAACGGGGTTGTTTATGTTATTTTATTTTAGAAAGCGTCAACTGAGTATTATAATGCTCTATATCCACATCGGTACATTCCATATCTACGATGCGAAATATTAAAATATATTTTATTCGCAATTATTATAAATACAAAAAAAAGTGCTCTATTGTAAAAAAAATTTTTTTTTTAAAATGGATATAGAACATTATAATACTCATCCGACGAAAGTTATAAAAATGTAAAATGAATATGAATAATTAGTGATGTTAAATCACCTAACCTTAGCCAACTTCCAGTAAAGATAAAGGCTTAGACTAAACCGTTAACCGTTTCCTATGTTAGCATAAAGATGGGATAGATGATTTAACGACATTAATTTAGAAGTAAGTGTTGGTTAAAAAGCCCGATGGGTCGATTTTTTTCCAAAAAGGTCCGGTTAAGATTTCAGCCAAAATGGTATCATGTAAGCATCGAGATTATGGCGAATAGATATTCCAAGCATTTCTGCCCAGCTATGACCCCAAAATCCTTAGGACTCCCACAATGTTATTTTTAGGGTTATAATCTAAAAAAAAACGAATCGGACTTTTTAACGACACTATTTAGAAGCTTATCCGTAATTCGTTTCCATTCTTATTAAAATTTATTTTTATTGTTTTATATATATTTTTTTGTCTACAGACTATTCTTCGCTGAAAAAATGTGGCGTGAGTTACAGAGCCTTACCCAAATCGTACCAGCAACCTTTGTGCGGAGGCAGGACTGGTCCCTGTAGAGAGGTTTTATTTACTACCTTTTCCATTTTTAGCCATCATTATTTGAGCGGGCTCCCAAATAATCAACTCATTTTCCTTGTGGGTGAAAAAACTGGAATTCGTTTAAAAAATTTGTAACTTATTTTTGTATATTTTTTTTTGTCCCCTTACCATATACCTCGTGGAGGTGTAATGTGATCTTCTTTTAAAAAACGTCATTGAACAATTTTTTTTTTTAAAAAAAAAAAAAATACCCCCTGAAATTAAGGTCTTGAACGACACGTACGTCTCCTTCGCTTCCTGGTCCGAGGATTCCTCCTTCGTTTCCTCCCGCAAATCCAGCTTCGAGGAAAACATTTACAGGGCGGAGGACGAACGCTTCGAACTCGACGTGGTGCTGGAGTCCACCAGGCACACCCTCAAAACTCTCGAGCAGACCCTAGCTGCCTTACTCAATTCCTGTATTCTTTCATTCATAAACCTATTTTCTTATAGCATCATTAAAAAAAACATTGTAGTTTG